ACCGCAGTTCAAAATATATGAACTTCATATATTCATTGTATCTGATTTATCATCACGGGTTTATTACGAATCAACTTAACGGCCTGCTCCCAGTTGGCTTGTTAGCTCAATTGGTAGAGCGCTGCACTAGTATCGCAGAGGTCAGTGGTTCGAATCCCGTACAGGCCTGATTTTTTTCAGGTCTGATTTTCGCTATTGCATAAATAGCGCTCTCTACTGCGAGGATCGTGCATCATACGTATCTATAACCGCAGTTCAAAATATATGAACTTCATATATTCATTGTATCTGATTTATCATCACGGGTTTATTACGAATCAACTTAACGGCCTGCTCCCAGTTGGCTTGTTAGCTCAATTGGTAGAGCGCTGCACTAGTATCGCAGAGGTCAGTGGTTCGAATCCCGTACAGGCCTGATTTTTTTCAGGTCTGATTTTCGCTATTGCATAAATAGCGCTATCTGCTGCGAAGGATCGTGCATCATACGTATTTAATACCGCAGTTCAAAATATATGAAGAAAACCTTCCTAACATGCAATTGTTTCACATCCTATCATACTTAAACACCCAGGTTTTACAAATCGCACCTGACAAAGGGAGTCCCAGGTCATAACTATACTAAAACTAAAATGTTCTCACTATGGTTTGAAAGTTTTCGAAGTTTGTTTACTTACATGTCTTTGCCCCAAAATCCCTTTATTTTTCCAGTCGAAGAGTCTATGATCCACACGGTGTGTTCTTTTATGGTTCCCACAACGTCAGCATTTTGAAATACATTAGAAGAGTCAAATGTACTGTGAAACGAGAGCCAAGAAATAACATCTTAAATGAATAAATCACCAAAACGATGAAGAAACAAATGCACGAATTTTACTCGCGTGTACCCTTGCTTATTTTAAGCGCCTCTACGCATTCTTTTTAAAGGTAACTTACATATGTTTTAAAACAAAAAAAAACCCTACGATTTAAAACTACGATTAATGAGGCAAACTATGATTAATGAGACAAAGAGAGACTCCAAGCGGAATCAAACCCCAGACCTTCGGATTCACGCTCTAATGCTCTACCATTGAGATACAGGAAACTCGATGGTGAGCTAAACCATTTCAAGTTTTATAAATAACAAGGGTCCTGTGAGGTGCTAGGATCGGCACAAAGAAGGAACAAAAAAAAATTGTGAGTTCTCCATTAGGAATGTCTCATGCTCGTGGTATAAAGGAAGACATCTTTCTTTTTAACCACTACCGAGCCAAAAGTTTGTTAGCTTTTGTATTCTACGTCGTCACACGATGCTTGCGACGTTGCTGATCTTAGCAGTCCGCCCAAGTAAAGAGGATCGTCACATATGAACCTAAATGAGTTCTCTGTAGCTCAGAAGCTGAGCATCACAACGCGAGTCCGAAAGCCTGTCCAACACAATAGTCAACAATCTTTCATATTCCATGGATAAAAACTACTTTGTATAACTCTATGGAAATGTCCAGTTAGCTGATTCTCGATAAATTGGAATTTGTTTGATGACTTACTGATCATCCCAAGTTCTGCTGCCGCGATGAAACACAATAACCTGCCCCATGGAATCCAGCGAAACTCCTGTTACTTGTCCCAGTTTACTGGTTTCCACTGCAGTTAAGCTTGGCCAGTCGGACACAACCCGAAGTTCCTTTTCATCTGTGGATTGAGGTACAGGAATAACAGGTGTGGATGTTGCGACAGGAATAATAGGCTGATTTTCCTTTAAAGCGGGATGTTCCTGAGAAGAAGGTTCAGTGCCGACTTGTGTTTCTGCTTTGGCTGATGGCAATTCCTCCTTAGCAGACCCTAAGTCAGAAATATCCAATTCTTGACTTGTGCCACGAGTTGGTGAATCAGTCGATATCTTGAAAGAAACAGGCACCATAGCTGTTTCTTTTCTGGTTTCCTGGTCTGGACTTGTTTTGTTGTACACTACAGGAGTGCTTATTATGGGGACACTACTTTCTCGATACTTCAAATCTGGTGAATCTGTTAACAGTGTGTCAGAGTCGGGAGGAAAATTCTTGAAAACATTTGGATGGTTTTGCTGCCCACAGTCTCCACCAGAATACTCCAAGCGGCCTGCATCGCTGTAATACATAATATAAAAGTTGCACATCTCATCATCGCCAGATGGCCTGAAACATAACACCAGAAAAGATGTTAAATTCTTCTCTTCAACAGCCTTTCACTCTCATAACTTATGGCCATACATTCAACATAATATAATTTTGTATTACACAGTAGACCCACTGAGAGAAGCTTGAAACCGTCTAATGACAAGTTTCTCTTAAATGTAATATTTACCGATCAGATCAGGGGTTCTAATACACTATTGCACACTAGTTGGTACCAAAACTTCAAGAAAAACTTTAATCGCAGGTTATTGAACTTTTCCTTATATCTAAAGACCCTGTGACGTTACTAAACTCAAAGTTGATGATCTACATAATACGTACAAACACATGGCTTACCCCATATGTATGACTCTGTGTATGTCATGTCCTTTTGAATCATACGTGCAACGAGCCACCTGAAAATCATAACGTAGAATACAAGGAATTATCATCCACTCATGACGTAACAATTCAGAGACTTTAACAAAGCATCACTCACCAACATATCTCCTTCTTTGATCTCAATTGTTGATTCCATTGGATAAAAAGCCTAAAAGGCAATCAATAGTCAAAATTTTAGGGCCAGTGGTTTAAACAAAGTTCGGCTGTTCAACAAAACCACGTCCTAAACAACCCTCGATTCAGTTGGACCTTAAATCTAAACATTTATTTTTGCGAACAGTGTAAAGATGCCGAAAGCTACCAGTGGAAGGAAATTGTTTTCATCAAATCAACCCTCTTATAGTGAAAGCCTAAGGCCCACTGATTGTGTAAACTGTGGTTTGAGCTCAAGTTAATAGCCGACCCTTAGAGATTGGCGACGAATAAAACGTTGAATATAATTAACAATTATTGGATAAGGTTGAGTATAATAGCGATAATTATCAAGGCCAAAGTTTGTGTTATCTGCCGAAGCCGAAGGCTGAGGCGGGTAACACAAACCGAGGCCGTAATAATTCTCGCTATCATGCGAAAACCGAATCCGATAATTATTTTATTATGCATATTTGTGAACTACAGTGGTAAAGACAAGAGCGCATAAAACTGTTGTCCGTAGGTATGAAGTCATTTCTACATTATATAAAATCTATCGCCTGTAGGTATGACGTTAGAGAATGTATAATAATTTACTATAACGTACAGGTAGGTAGTCTTAAATAGCACCTAAAAATGAAGTATAGTCAGAATTCCAGCAATGGCTATTGCTGGCTACATGTATGGTTAGCCATTACTGCTTTTGGAAATCCTTCTGAATAGCAGTGAAATTTGAAAAGTTGATTAGTGGTAACTTTGAGCTAAGTAGGATTTGGGTTCGGTGGAAAGATCTGTTCCCAATGGTGTTTTGAGAACAACTAAATTTGGTATTTGCTTGAAACAGAAAATGCCATGCCGAGGACAAAAACACGTAGAAATAATAGCATTCCCCCCTCCACTTCCCGCCTCAACTCAGAAAATGAGCTTTCATTTCAACAGTCACAAAACGTCAAGTTTTAAACTAGAAACGTTCCCTTGCTGCTACAATACTAGTTCCAAACACGCAAAAAGAAATACAAGATTAGTTTTTATTAGTATACCTAAGGTATGTCAGATAGGAAAGTTGGAAATTTCATTTATCAGTTGTGCAAATTGGGAAAGAACTAATAGCATGACTTTTGTAATATGTGCTGACTTGTGAAAACTTCCTTTGATGGAACTAAGAGTAGAGATGTGCAGAGGCCATGCAAGTGTTCACCAAAAGAAATATGATGGGACATAACCAACAACAAACAAACAACACTATTCACCTGGGGAGCCTGAGGATTTCCCTTGCCCAGCAAAGTCCACACACCATTGCGAACCCTGTAACCAGTTATAACTTTTGCTAAAACAGATGAAAAGTGAATAAGAACCTTTCATGAGTGCTAAGATGAAATGAAACTCTTATGAAGGTTGCATCTTTGTAATCAAAGTTTCAGGTTATTAGCCGTGCCTAGAAAATGCTCAAGCTACTTTAGGCTAGCTCTTACACACAGTAAATGTATTCCTTCTAAGAGTCAAGTGAATCTAGTGGTTGCACCTACAGTGTATAGTAAAGAGATTACAGATCAGTGGATGCAATTCACCATCAAGTGGTAGCAAACATAATTTTTAGTTTTTATTTCTTCTCTCTACAAAAATAAATCACAACAGGCTTATTGTGCAATAATCTTTCAAAAAAATCTACTGTCAGCTCCTAGGGGCAATACTGGGATGTTGTGCCTCTCCAAGAGCTTTTAAAACATTCACCTACCAAGTTTGTGGGCATGAGTGCGAAATGCAAAAGCAAACATTGGCTCAGGTTCATTGTATGTACAACCAACATCAACATGCATGCCTGACAAGCAAAGGTAAACAATATTAGGTCAACAATAATGGTGCTAGGCAACAAATATTTATACACTGACATATCAATGTGTCAAACAAACAAAAGTAAAAATTATAGCTTCTAAATTTGTTGGACTATAAACAAAGTGCACTTTTGAGGGGATGAGCAGAGCAGCTAAACATGAAGGTGGGATAGAAGATAGATTGTATATCACAACCTATCCAGACACTTTGTAGCTCATTCAGTACTCTTGTATTGGTTTGAGACCTACAACTGTCACCAAAATTATTGTTTAGACCTCCCCATCCCCACCTTGCTTTCCCTTAAGATAATTTTGGTAACACTAAAATTCAATTGCAAAGTTGAGTGGGAGGTTAGGTGATTGGTCAAATTAAACAGTCTATTTATAAAAAAAAAAAAAACACGTGAAAGTAATAAACTATATAATTGCTTATTATTATTTCACTTGATAGGGGAAAGAAGGGGAGAAATTGTCTCTGATGCAATAAAACCATTTGGGATGGTAGGTACAGGTGTAACTGCTGGTGTACCTGTACATGTAGTTGTCAACAAATTAAGAACCACTTAAACCAACCTGATGTTTCTGGAGGAATGGAGCCCCTGCCTGCCCAAAGCAGATATATTGCTGCTCCATATGGAAGTCTACAACAGCAGGTGATACAAAGACATATAATATGTAAGTGTTAAATATATCATTATTACACCAGTCACAGTGCTGGTGGGCAAGATGAAGCAAATCCTGTGTTCTGATTGGCTACCGAGCGGGCAAGATGAGCCTATCTTGTCCACTCGGGATTACCTGCATTCATCCCATGCGTGACAAAAAAATTGAATTAGAGCTACAGTCATAATTCTTGGACAAAGTGTCGGTGATGCAAATGCAACAAGAGGCAGAAGATAATCAAAACAAAGAAAATAGAAACGACTCTTGCCAGTTTGTTACACTACAAACACAGTTGGCTTTCTTTCCTAGCTCTCAAAGTAAACAAGTCATGTTAATTCTTAATAAAGCAAAATCTTTTTGCGATATAATAAATCCTTTATTAGCCAAGCTTGTTCAGTCAAGATGGGTAGATATTAGCCTCATTCTTTTTTTGCATTTTTAAGGACCTTAACTGCCTCTTGGTCCATCAAAATGCCAAAAAAAAAAAAAAAATACTAGGCTAATATCCAGCCATCTTGACTGAACAAACTTGGTTAATAATGCATATTTAGTATCCCACTACACTCCATAGAGCTCAAACAATGCCCAAGATGAGTACAAATATCATGTGGTATTTGTGCTCCAGAGAACCAGTTAGACAAGTTTTCTTGCATAGTGCAAGTGACAAATTGGATTGAAGTCACACAAAAAAAATGGCAGATAATTTAAATCATTTTCCTGACGACAAAGAGTCAGAATGGCTGGCAAATATTGATCCAAGTTTATTAGATAAATTGACCAAAGAAAAGCAGTTAGACGACAATGAAAATTCATCATTTCCTGAGGAGAATAGAAACAGCAACAGGACAATGCACCAGTTCTGTTCCTCTTAGCACACTCTGCATGAATAAATATCCAGGAAATTCACTTGCATTGTAATAAAAATTTGGTGTGTTGGATAATAAATATCTTATTAAATGTTTTGTTGAAACCTCTAATAAGATAATATATATATTGATACTGTGAAATGCTAAACACTGACACTCACATGTATGGTTGTTTATCTTTCTGATATCTCCTTATTTAACAAATAAGACAATATATATCAAGGATATAAAATAAAATCATACATTTAGCTACAGAATGGATGTTTCAAATGAAGAGAGATTACAGCAATTGCATAATTAATGCAAATACAAATCTTGAAGAATGGCAATGGATCTGTTGAATCCTGTTCAGTTATTATCAGCTTTTATTTTCACATCTATTTAATAGTGAGTATAACTGACATTATTAAAAACTGGATCATTGGATAATGCAATTCAAGACTTTTTATTGGCTTAGCCATTATGGTATATGAGCCAATATACCACACGAGCTTGTTGGATTTGAGATGATTATAGCCAACTCGGTGCTATGCACCCCATTGGCTATCTACCATCTCATATCCAACAAGCGCTTGTGGAATAATTGTTAAATATTGCTTTTATACCAAATGTATTGTACAATGATATCTTTCTGAATAAATAATCATGTTCTTGTTGCTGCCTATTCCAAAAGGTGGAGCTTTCAGCCTTTTGCTACTTTTCAATTCATTACAAGCAATTTGACCAGTTAGAGTAAAAGACATGTGATGTTTACCATTTAGTGCCATGTATAACTATTTCACTATGTTTCTTCGCAAACTAGTCACTCTAAATTGCCAACTTGGTAATTTTTTTCCAATCCAAATCCCTAGTGACAATACTCAAGTCACTATGGGATGTCATGATCCCACCTGGGAGGTGTGTGCATGATATGGTGCAGCAAAGCTTAAGATAAATTCAACATTTTTCCCTGCATTTAAGCTTATTTAAGACAAATAAACTAAAAAAGTTGAAGTATTTGATTACAACTTCATTAAAGTGGGGAATGATAAAAATTCTTGCATAAAATTTCATTGATATATATACATGTTAAACTGACTTCATCAGTTGGATATGTTATTTTCACACTTCCATTGAAAGGAGAAAGTTCTTTAGTAGCAAAGTGATTTGGCTATACATATGTGCTGTAAAACAATATATCCCACCTGTGCAATAATTTGACTTAGAATGATCTTACTGTAGATCAGACAGAACCATATTCGTAACTAGAAGCAGAACATTTACAAATATCTATCACAAATGAACTTGTACTCACTGATGTTGGCTGGTGCGAAGAGTAAATCCAGAGAAGTCTTTGGCTCCCTCTAAGTGGTAAAACATTTTTTTCTGAAAACCTCTATTCAACTTCTTTAAACCTAACATTTTTAATCATTAGTACCTTTCATATTATTATTTTCAGTAATACAACCATCCCAAAGTATGAGAAAAACAGTCTAGTATGTCTAATTCTTTTCAGTGGGTTGATACAAACACATGTAACATGGAGTTTACACGACATCTATTTAAGCCATTTGTCCTCCTAGACAAGGCTTGGTGAAATGAACATGCATCACATTTGTTCATTATTATGTGTACTGTTCATGCCATTTTACATTCAGTTGATACTTTGGTATTCCACTGTTAAAAAACTTAATGCCAAAAGTACATTTTACAATAATAAATTGACAGAATGGGGTTCATAACATTTTCGTTAGATAATTCCCACATTAGTTAAAATTGCTGTGCATACAGCCTCACCTAAGTTACTGAAATAAATGCCACATGGTTGTATTCTTCATAATTATGCGGAGTGTGGAATGGAGGATGTATTTGTGGTTAGGTTACCTTCAAAAGGAATTACAGATGCATAGTGCACTTGTAACACAAGATATCTGATTCCTGAATCTCCCCCTATACCAATTCCAACATCTGTAATTAAATATGAGCAAAAAAAATTTAATCAATACATTAATTACATTTATTTCTCAGCAATATTATTTGTTAGTGCAGCACTTATTGATATGTTATATATTTCATTAGTTACTGTTTAAGTCTCTATCTTCCTTTGCAGCTCTTTTAATGCAGATCACTAAAATTAATATTGATTTTCAAAATGGTTGGTGTCTCCATGAAATACCAATTTCAATACAATTTTAAGTTAAGCTGCAGGTTCAGTTTCAAATTTAAAAACCAAAAGCTCACTAAGTTCTGGTACAAACTCATTCACCACAACTCACTACCTAGTGGAGCTAAATCTTCAACCTGATTCTATAATAAAGCAAAAGTAAATAAAGAGTAATGCTTCATGGGTCTATTTGATTCACTTAGAAAACCTCAAAAGGTTCCCACCACATTCTGTTAATTTACTTGCTATCATCTGTGTACAATTTACTTCTAACCTTTGGGTAAGTTTCTAGAAGGTGCATCCTTTGCCCAAGCATAAATAATGTTCTGTTCACCATTACAGGGTCCTCTTTGACAATACCTACCATGAAATGTACAAATACTATTCAAAACATTTGAACTTTCCAACTAGTGTTGGATAAGATGTCTCAATCACTGATTGCACGTCAAAGAGCATTTTTAGTGTTCAGCTACACATGTACCACACATTTGCCAACGGTATTAATAGTTTTAGTATTATTTAGTAATTATATAAGGTAGATCCTTCCCAAACTGTTAACGGATTTCTCTAACCACTTAAAAAATTACTTCCTCCAAGTGGATCCAAGAGTTTATTAAAATATTCACAGGCTAGGACAGGGTAAGTGCACATTAGGTTGGAGGTACAGTCTACTTTAACCTGTTACTTTCTGATAGTGCTTAAGTTAGAAATACCTGAGTATGTAGTATATATGTATGCAACAGGGCTCGACACTAACGGTAGCCTACTGGCCACAGGCTAGTAGAAATTCAGTTTTGGCTAGTGGTTTTCAATTTCCACTAACCAGTTTGGCTAGTAAACAGACTGAAATTGTCGTAACATCTAAAAACACCTAAGATATCACAAGCCACTTGGCTACGTAAGTTGAAAAGTTAGTGTTGAGCCCTGATGCAATGTGATTAGTTGCTACAACGTTTGAGAATGACACCTTAAATAAATCAAATACCCTGCCAGAGATCCTTTAAAAATATTGTTGGAAACAATAACTACCGGTAACTTGATTTTAATATCATTAAGACTGTATTTTCTTTCACACACTTTAGGGACCATTTTGTGAGTAAGTCCACCAGTCTATGATCTAGCCAGACTGTGGAAAAATATGATGCAATCCTGGACCAACTTGTAGTACATGCAATCACTTGATCAGTTACTGACATTAATCAAACTCACCAACTGGAAAGTTGGGCTCCTGGTGAACTACAACCATATAGCAACATGTGATGTGCTGTCTGCTGAGTAGCATTTGGTTCTAATCGAACTAAAAGAAGTGACAAAAAAGCATGATTGTTGTTTTAACATCTCAAGAAACCACACTCTTAATATGTCAACCTTTGCAGACAGTTTTTCTCAATAATAATGTTCATGGAACATGGCAGAATGAATGTTTTAACTTCAATCACACATGTATAGTAACGGAGATTTACATTTAACCCTGTAAGTTTAACCCAGTGTGATGCTTGTGGATAAATTATTTTTTAATCTGCACAATATATATCTTGGGTATATTACTTACCTATATACTGCTTCGTAGGTGGCAGCTGTAAAGCTGTACAAAGATAAGCATCTTTCTGTAAGAGATAAGTTTACTATATTGGTAATGGTAGAAGGGTTCCTCAGATGTCAGAGATGTCTTATTATGGAAACGGAGACTAAAGTTTCCTTTCCTATGATAGAGTAAATGAGGGTTTTCAAGGTCATATGATCTATCATGAAACACATTTCAACGTCATTGTTGAAGATGTCAAAAACCAAGAATGAACAATTTGAATATATCAATGAAGTTGAAATGGTAAATTGGCCACCGTTACGATTATAAAAGTTGACGTTTCAAGCCTTACAAATAATTATTGAAAAAGATTAAAAACTAATTAATTATGGAAAAAGATCAAGAGCTAAAAATCTAAAATTACAAAGTTTATAAAAACTATAAGATAAAATGTTCTAATCGTTTATAACTATTCTTAAAAAAATCTAACATGGCCTTCTTAAAACATTTGATAGTAGGTTTCATTCTTATGTCCAGTGGTAAGGTATTCCAGAGGCGTGAGGTCAATACTGTGAAAGACCTCATTCAAATTATTTATTCAAGAATGAACCAGTTGATTTTCTATTGTTACAGTGGTACAATGTACATTGACTGATTTAGCAGATGTTTGTTCTTCGAGGAACTTTGTTCCAAATACCGGACGAGACTTGAAATCATAATAAATAGTGGACCCAATCAGTTTTTTTGCTTCAGCTACCACTTTTTACCATACAAAGGGTGGTAGCCCAAGAGGTGAGTTTACCGCACAATATTGGTTAGCAAAACTCATAAAGAGGTTAAATCAGACAGGAAAATGCCACAAAGGCATGTTAACTAGAATATGCTGTTTGAAAACAATAAGACTGAGATAAGACACAGATATTCCAAGGCTCCATAAATATTGATAAAGGAACCCCTCTTCAACTCTAAGTGTTTCTAAGGCATCATCTCTGGTGATAGCACAGTAAACAAGAGACAACAAGAGACAACCTTACTAACTACAGATTAACATCAACTCATTTACAATTAAACTTATGGCAGCTTTGTGAACAGGGTTTGTACCCTTTTTCAGAACAAATTTCAAGGACTTTTCCAGGACTTTCCCTGGACTCATTGATTTTTCCAGGGATCCAAATTTCACCTTAAACCCTTCCCTTCTCAAGATTTCAAAATCAATTCTCCTTACAGTTACAGTCTACATGCATTTCTTATAATGTAAATTCTGAAAACTCTATTGCTTGAGTTAATCAAATTTCCAGAATTTTTCAGGACCTGCAGCCTTTTTCCACAACTTTCCAGTCCTTGGATAAATTATGTCAAAATAAAATTTCAGGACTTTCCAGGTTTACCAGGACCATACAAACTCTGTGTGGATGAGAGAACTGCAGTCCCTTCCCTAAACCCTGCATTCTCACATCTTCAACTGTGTCTGTTTCTAACAGTTCTCATTTTGATAACTCAAAGTCATGAGCCTCCTGCTAAGTTCTTGCAGTTTCAGTAGCAGCTCATTTTCTCCACATTCTAAACACAGAAACATTTTTTTCCTTTTCCCAGTCTCTACTTCTCAATCCTAAGAACTAAAACCTTCCTAATTTCCCCCTTACATTTTCGAGCTTACTGAAGTTGACTTGACAATTCAGACCTTGTTAATCGACAACGAAATATAAAAAAATTACCAACTAAATGTATGACTAGTTACTAGATTAAGTATAGGGTGAAAGTATGGTGACCCTTCGGTTCCGAACTTTTTCGCCGTTATTTAACCATTTTAAGTTTTGATTCTTGCCAAATAACAGGGAAGTTGTGATATCATTTGGCAAAAAAAAAAACCGTCTGAGCGATTATGAGGCTATCGACATCCTCTCTGTAACGACGGTACCAATGATGCATAACGACAAATTACGATCGAGTTGTGTTAACTCAAACGCAAATTACAGCTCTTTAAACGAAAAATGAAATCAGTACAGGGACACTTCTTATCACTCACAAGAACGTTACCTTCAGTGGACGAGTGCCTGGCATCTTAATGTGTATAGTTCCCTCATATCTGGCGGAACCTTCGGACACAGCTTTTACTTCGTTGCTGCAAAACAGTTCGTTTATGCACACCAGAGAATACAAAATGGCCAAGACCTTACTCGCGCGAAAGCAAGCCATAACGGAAACCACTCTGAACCAATGACACCATAAATAACGCAATGAAGGTGAAAAAAATCACTTTATTACGTAGTGATGTATTTCACCGAGAAAGCTCAATGTTTAAACTCACTTTGGGTTAAAATATGCTAATGAATGCGTCAATGCTTGCATAACAAATTTTCCCATAGTTCCAAGCAAGCGAAACGAGCAGATAAGTCATCACTAGACATCACCTTCGGACCCACTTACGTATCTCTAAGGTTAATTTCCGAAGTATCATTTTATCTTTATCGAAGAAACTGCCATCGTCAATCCTTTCTTTATACAAACTTTTTGATAACTATGGAACATAACGATGATTTTGAGGAGTACAACTACGACGATAGCCTTCATTCAACTGGTCACTCACGTAAAGGGAAAACGAAGAAGGAGGCAGGACAAAACAAGAATCCCATAGAACATGGCCGAGGTCACGTAGAAAGAAATGTTGTGGATAACATTCAGCATGGAGAACAGAAAAGGAAGGAAGCGCCGCAAAAACTACCTAAAGGAAAATAGTGAAAATTACTTATAAATTTCACTGGATGAAGTTTGGTCTGAACATAAAAATATTGGACATTTACTACATGTTCCACTCATTGATTTTTAGGCGATAAAAGGTCAAAGTATCAGTTAAGATTGTTACGGAAAAACTCGATGGTGTGAAAAATTGTGGACTGTGTTCGCGTTTTGTCATACTTTGGAACCCTGCTTATGGTACAGTTTTTGTTGGAAGCTAAATTCTGATTACCAGAAGATGCTGCCATGGATTTTGAAATGAGTTAATCTTTCTTGAACAACCACAGTGATGTGAAGAGGTCATAATAGGTGACATTCGAGCAAGATTACATTTCTTTTTAAAATGTGGAAGATTAGTGAGGGGGCGAGGAAACCAAAGTTGTACTCTGCATCTCTTCCAATAACAACTTGCATTGAGCTCAAGAAACAGTTTGTTATTGTAGTATTTATACTCTAGACGGTGGACTGTTTTCATTTTTAGAGCAAACTAATCCAGCTGCAGTTTGAGTTAATGTAATGAGAAAATAAAACTTATTTTGACATTATTAGTTAATTGGTTAAAAATCTAAAAGCATTTTTGGTGTTTAGATGGCATCTTGCAGAGAGTGACTCAGGCATAATTCCAAGTGTACCCCTCTGATTAGCACTGTGGATGGTGTATAGAGCTGTAGCTGAAAAGTCCAATATATTAAATGCTGTAGAATTCCCCTAGTTTCAGAACAGCAACTCAACCTATACTCCTTTACTGATCAGTTGTGAGAGTCGTTGACCTGGTATTCAGAGTATGCTCAACTAGCTTTGGAGAAAACATTCAAGGTGATTTGGGTTTTATTAACTGAGTTGATAATGTAAATTGGCCACCCTGAAGAGATTTTAAGGTGTCATTTTCAATGGTAGCCCTTTGTCAGAAGAAGGGGCTAACAAGGCTAATGCTCAAAACATCAGCTTTGAACTCTCTTGTTGGTTACTTAATCAAATTGGTCGATAAAATCAGAATTACCTTGTTACTTCCACTGATGTATCCCCTTCATTCTTTGGAGTGCTCCACAGAATGTGGCTTTAAAGAAAGGTCAGTGAGCCTCCCTAATAGCTTAATATTCTTCATGAGTTTTGCATTCTGGACATTGAAAAAAAAAAACCTATTCACAGAGCATAATCATCCCTAGTTTGGATTCATTTGAGGTAGTTAGGAAGAGAAGATGGAAGACAAACAAGGTGTTATGACAACCCAATGATCAAATAAATCAGATTTCCACAATTGACTTACCAAGGGTGATGAAATTGTTTTGCTTGTTACAGACCATAATCACTCTATTTGTTCTTGTTCAAGCCTCAGTTTTAAATAATGATTTATAAAATGGGAACACAGCTGATGACACCTCACAAAGTAAGTTGCAGTTCTGCACACAGTAATAGCTGAACTCACACCTAAGGTTACCGTGCACCTTCAGGAGTGTCTTGCGTGCAAGCTATGTAGCGCTTCAGGTTAAACTGTAGATATCTGAACCCCTATATCAAATTAAAGCTTATGACTGGCAATCAGACTATAACAAAAATTTTTAAAAAAAATGAATCGTCGAATTTTTCATGACTTCTAAATGCAAGCACCCGAATCACCTTTTAAGAGCTACAAGTCAAAGGGAATTTGTTCGATTGCTCTCAAATTATTTTTGACAGTAGCTAGTTTTACATGTAAACAACAAATATGTGTCCGAATTTTTTATTTCTAAATACTTTTTTTTCAAGAGCGATTTTTGAGCGATCACTCCACATTTTTTAAATCCTATTTCAAAAATGTTCTGTAACTTTTCACTGAAATTGAATATGGCAAATTGCGGACACGTTTTTTTGGCGCTTTAGCCCCCGAAACGGAGGAACACATTAAATAAGTGAAAAACAAAATTCACTTTAACATGTAACATTCAAAAGGTGATTTGGGCACTCCCATTTAGAAGTCATGAAAAATTCGACAATTAATTTTTTTTCAAAATTTTTGGTATAGTCCAATAGCCAGTCCTATAAGCTTTAATTTGATATAGGGTTTTAGATATCTACAGTTTAAACCAGACGCGCTAGATCACTTGCACTTGAGACACCCTTGAAGGTGCACAGTAACCTTAAGTCTAAAGCTAAAGTTGCCAGTTGATGACACTAAGTGCATTCTTGTTCATTTTTTTGTTCTCTCTTATTGCTTTATTATGGTAAGGGGAAAGTAAATTATTTTTTTACTTCTTCAAAAAAACAACAGACAAGCTCACGTGTGGAATGTTACCTTTATTTGAAAAAATGTTTCCTAAACTAGAACTCTAACTAGGATTTCTTATTTGTCATTGTCAGTAATAAAATGCATTTAAAGCTGGATGGTTGTTCTCTTTTCATATTTTTTATGATCTGAATCTTTTAATTAAATAACTTAAATATATGCTCCTGGGAAGTAGTAAGTAATTGATGAGTTAATTGATGAGTAAAATGTTATGAAGGTACATGATTAAACCATGCCTATTAATTATTCTTGCTTTGCACCAAGGATAATGAATTCCATTAATTTAAAACTCCTTATTCCACATACCAATAAATAGGTGTTTATCCAGTTTAAAGTATGATTATTTCCTTACAAATAAAATTCTTCATATCCTTGACAGCAAATGCAAGTAAACAGGGGCAGTAAAATACAAGAAAACTATTACTGTATGATCCTTAATTAACACTGAATGGTGTAAAAAAAATATGGGGAAACAAAACTGTATCACAGTTCCAAGTGTCCCATAATAGTGTTATAGATTATTACTTGATATCTTACTAACACTATTTAACTTTCATTTCCAAATTCAGATTGAGACAATTCAATTTTGACAAATCCAGGGATTTCATTAATGTTTCAGCAGGAGGGCAACTGGTTTTTACAGGCAGGCAAAACTCTTTGAAGTAAACTTCTTTACATGATAAACTTTCCTCTAGATTGTCAAACCAGGTGGGCAAAACCGTCCTCACAACCAGTCAATTTGCCCAGTGCCCCCCCCTTAATGAAACCCCCGCAAATCACTTGGGAAAATGAATGTCTAGACAAGTTCTGAAAAGGAGAACAGGACAATTAGTGTTGACCATTCGCATTGAGATGAGCTGTTCCACGTCAGTGTTAACTTGGGGTTTTGCATTTTATTGATAAGTATGATAGGACAGAATGACAAAAACAAAGACTTGCATTAAATAAGGATCTATAAGAAAGAATGGTTTTGTATAGATCTCTTGGACGAAGTTACATGAAGATAAGCAGTGACTCACTACATGTAAATTCCAAGAACATTGTTTCAAACTTTTCATTTAACATCTGAATTTTTTACATGTTTTCAAACAATTTGGTCCACTGAAAGATATTAGTAATCAAGAAATTATGCATCCCTGCCATGTGACTGCTCCACAACACTGACATCTGTCATCAACTGACCGTGGTGGTATAAGATCTAAGTCCTCTTCATCTGATATTTCATCAAGTCTAAGAGACAATGACAGATATTCACTTATATCAGTGGGTTATTCAACGCTGAAACAGTAGTAGTGTAAAATCTGTGTGAATGATACAGCTAGATGTACATTGCAGTTAGAATGCACTTAATGGATGACAATAAAACAGAGGCTCTCTTCTACTGAAGTGTTAGTCTGGCTTTCATAAAAATCCCTCACACTGCACGTCATTCATCACAAAACCCTGCTCCCTTTTCAAGATTAAATTTCAGAGGGTCTAATTTTGCTGTTACCAAAACTGAAAAGGGAAGAAGCAGGAAATGTTGGAACAACTGTGATGAGGATTAATCTGTTAAACAAGTCTAGCCCAAGGGTCACTCGCCAATGACTTCCATAATTCTGATTCTTAAAATTTTAGTCACTACTGGTGACAACACTCCTTTTCAGTACCACTCAGTATCACCCAGGGCCCAGTTGTTCGAAGGCCGATTAGCACTAACCCAGGGTCAAATTTTCCTCCAGATTTCCTTATTTCTTTATTCAAGAACCTTTATGGGATAATTTTCCCTATTCTTTTTGGAGGATCCAATCATCAAATTGTAGACAAAGGAACAAGGAATAGAATTTTCTCTTAAAGCTTACAGATCTGAAATGAAATTTTCATGCTAACCCTGGGTTATCAGGGTTATCTTCCATTTAGTTATATCTTGTGTCTGGCTTCTTTTTATCATCCAAATCACCACTGACAGTGCAATAACAAGAACCCAGCTTTGAACAACCCAGCCCATATGATTACAATATCCTAACAACTGAGCCTTTGGTTGTCTGTTGTAAACACAGACACTGGAGATCAGGACAAATGAGCTGACTATAAAATTACAAACTAGCTTCCATTTAGTTATCTAATGTGTCTGGCTTCTTTTTATCATCCAAATCACCACTGACAGTGCAATAACAAGAACTGTTTCTGTCTTTTTAGCTTACCGAGTTTTAAGGAAAAGATCTCTACACTATGAAAAATTCAAAAGCCCATTTAAGAATCAACACTGCATACACAAAGTAATGAACAGACAACAACTGGTTATCAGTAAAATAGAAATAAATCTAAGTTTAGTAGGTTCAGCACAAGTTGATAAAATTGGTTTTTGACTATTTATTAGTTAAAATCAGTCTTTGGCATAATTGTGCATGTATTTCTAAGAGAAGAGTTTTAAAGAGTCTCATTCACTCATTTACTATTTGTAAAAAATGTTTGAAAATGGTGAAACCAACCTGTAACCATCCTTTAGTAGTTGTTGGGTACAATCAGAAAGATTCTAAAGCAAACAGGCAATCATCAGTCATGTGTAATAATCAACCATTCAAGAAGATGTGGCAATGTTTCAGTATATACTAAAACATTGAGGTTTGTAATTGCTAACAAAAATAAATATACTGTATTATCTAAATGGGCATCAAATGGGCATGAAACTGGCATTATCCACATTTCAGATATTTTTGATGCACAAAAGAACTTTTTTCTATCTTGTGACTATCTTTTCAAAAAATTCAATTCAAAACTCAACTTCCTACAGTATTCTTCCTGCTATTCCTCATTCCTGAAAAAAAAACTTTTAAATGACCAGCCACATATTGTATCCTGACCACCATAAAGAGTTTCAAAGCTGACATTTCCAGCACTGACCCTTTTTCTTTTGCTCTGACAAAGGGCCAACACTCAAAACATCAGTTTTGAAACTCTTTACAGTGTCCAATTTACATCATCACCTCATTTGATAAAACCAAAATTACCTTGTTACTCCCAACTACACAGCACCACAGTTTCACTAGAAACACATATTGTACCCCTTGACTTAACTAAGATTTATCGACAGGAAAAGTCCTGTATGAAAAACTCCTCTCTTTATTCCTTCTCCCACGGTGGACTATTATATAAAAAGTGATCAGCACAATGGATCATTGTTGAAATCTCATACATCACCTATGATCTAGCCAGATTTCAAGTTCAACCAGCTCTATAACAGACCATCCTCCCCCTTCCTATATCCCCCATGGGAATTTTAAGATGGAATCCAAGCACATTTAGATTTAAGATTTGCATGTGTGCCTTTGTAACTGCCTGTTGAGTGTCAATTATTGAATTATGGGTTGTATAGTAGGTCGACAGTGTGATTTCATTGCAATGATTTTAAATTATTTTAGAGCAATGCCTACTTGAAGAAAAATCCTACCTTAGAGTTTTGGGTTACAGATACATTTGGTGCCTTACTATAATGAGTCACAGTTACTTCTTCATCACTGTCAAGAGAAAAAGGATTGATTTGAATAGTTTGAAATAAATGTACATACTGAAAAAATTCTGCAGTGCATACCACCTGTACTACTTGTCAAAGACAACCAGTTACGAGAGATACATAATAAGGGTGATTCTTTAAGACCTAACCTTCCTTCAATCTAAACACATGCTTATTTAGGAACATTGTACGTGTAGCAACGCCATATAACAGTGGTCCAGATATTCCCTAGATCATTAATCAATAAATTATGTCTGGGAATGAACATTTAGGTGAACAAAATTTCTACACACAAAAAATTACATCATCTAAATTAACTGGGTTGAGATCTGGTTGCTGTTATTTCCTATGCATTGGCCTTATTATTACATCACAGCTAGCAATTTGGTGTCTTTATCTTATGCTCATGCCGTTAACAAAAAAGGAGGACTTCAGAGGAAGGTTGTATTAACTGGTTGATAAGACTCTTGTTCCGTTGCTAGGGGTGATTTGTACCTTATTACAGGAAATTAATGCTCCATGAAATTAAGGTGTTGGAAATTAACGCGACTTAAATTAACACGAATTTAATGGAAACGAGTTTCGAATAAAGAAAATTAATGTGAAAGAGGAGGTAGAATTTCACAATAGAGGAAATTAATGCAATTAAGGCACAGTTGGTGGTGACAACTGGAACAAATTTATTTCAACACTGGATGCCAAGAAATTTAAAACTGAACAAAATTGAGCCATGTGCTCGACACAACAGTACACAAAATTCTAAAGGTAGGGGCTACTTGACGGAATCTGGCCATTTCTAGCGTTTTTCACGCAGTCCATGATACCAGCCGATCTCCACCCCGATAAAATAATGCCCTTTCCTTTATCTGTTAAAAGCCATTTGTAGACTTCTTTCATTAGCTTGCCGAGGCGGGGCTTCAAGGTTGATAACTTCAAGTCAATTTCGATTGTTGTAACATCTTTCCCAGGGTTAAGCAGCATTTCATCTGTGATACATGATGTGAAATATTCACTAAATGCACATTTCTCCATGTTTTTGACAGCACCATTTGTTGAGAGATCAAGTGGTTGGAGAAGATGTGTCATGTTTTTGGGCACCATGACACTGATGTTTAGTTCTTTTAGTAGCTCTTCAACAAGCTTCGATGACTGAGCTTTAAATGCATCCCAGATCAAAACGGTTCTGGCATTTTCGTCAAGGCTGAGCTTTGCCTTGGTTTGCTGAATGTAGGGGTGAAGAACATCATTTATCAATTGCAAGGTTTCCATTTCAGTACTCCAATGTTTCTCGTTGTAGGACAAACAAAACCGTTCTGGAAAGTTTGTGGCTGGCAAAGATCTAGCTGTTTTACCTGGATAGATTAACTGGAATGGTAAAACAGATCCATCCCATGTTTCTGCTAAAGTGAGAGTCATGCCCCATCCATTTGTCACTTCCTCCTTTCTTCGCCACGTGCTTTGAATTGGTTTCTGCCATTGTTACATTCTCTGTTGGGACAAATTTTGACGGTGTTTGATCTACATTAATAATAAGCTGATCTGGAATGCTGTGTGTTGAAATGGTTTCTGCAACTTCATTAAGAAACCGGTATTGTGTTTTGAGCCATAATTTTGGTGTAACTGTTGGTCAGGAAGTAGTCACGATTCTGCATGTGAACCCCATTCTGGTGTACAGAGATTGCACCCAGCCATTAGTAATGTGAAATTCAAGGTATTGGCCATATTTTGCCAGATCGCTCTTGATCAGACCCATCAGTACACCATACAAAATGTGTCTGTTTATGGTACCAACAGCAGTTCTTAAGTTTATAATAAATGAGCAAAGCTTGAAATCCAGCTCATCTGGTAACAAAAGTGGCCTTCTGTGCTTCATTCCGATTTGCACATCTTGTGGTGCAGATTACAATATCCTAACAACTG